GGACTCTCCATCTTTCATCTTGGTCATTATCAACGAGGCAACAATCTCGTACCTTTCTTGACGTGCACTTTGATGGTATTTTTCCATCAAGTCATGGCACATCTCATAAGGCCAGTAGTCCTCGTAGAACCGTTGCAGCTCAGGAGTCATAGTGGCTACCATTATACACGACACCTTTGTCGCGTCTTTTTCGTGAGCCTTATACTAAGCTATTTATTTAGCAGAAGCTTTAGTTTCGTCTATCTCTTTGAGCTTTTCGTCGAGGACGTATTCTTTATCCTCGTATCGAAGGGCCATGCAGATGCTACAGATCCAATCATTAAAATTGGACCCATCAAATGTGACCCTCCCACAAATTTTCATAAGAGAAAAGGAGCTTGGGGGGTTGGAGTTTGATCCAGAAGCGTTGTTTGAGCCAGACATCTGAAAAGAAAAGGAACAAAGTTTAGATTAGATAAAGATTCCTTAACATAACACCCAAATGAAATATTAAGGATAGGACCCAACACAATATTTCACAATTCGGAAGAGGGATGCCGTAATCCAATTGCAAAATATTTGAAGGTAGGTAAATGATGATTTACCAATTTCCACCATGAAAAACGAAATGAAGAATTAGGTTTTAAATGAAATGAAATTCCTTGATTCTATTGAGATATATTGAACTTTTCAATGACATGTTTAATCTCGATTATGCCCTTCAAGTTTGTGACTGGGATACCGAGGATCACAAACAAGGTGTGAATAACCACGCAAATTAGCTTGGTACTCTCGATTCATTTATCACCTAATCAATGTATCGGTTAACCACACACGCTTCATTGATCTATGATAATTCTCGAGCAACCCTTCGCCACCCTTGTTAGTCCAAGTTAGTGTGCCAGTTAACCACACATGCTCCACTAACGACTTGGAAAGGCGCAAGGTGCAATTTCATGGAATAGCATCATTTTCACATTTTTCCTAAAGTAACTAAGATTGGAAATTTGAAAAAAAAATTCGTTACTTTATAGAGTTCATTATACTTATTAATGAGGAATTAATGTTCTATCCTACCCGTTCGGCTAACGACCCTCCACTAGACAAGAGTGCGGTGGGTAAGAGTGGATACCCAATGACGGTCATTTTACAAGCCGCTTCCTTAAACACCCCTTTATAGACCAGCTTCGTGAATGAGGCCTACTAACGGTAAGACTGACTTATCTTATATACATATATATATATATATATATATATATATATATATATATATATATATATATATATATATATATATAAGTATTAAACTTTTAATTTTATAATAGTATAAGGGTTGTATTTTAAACTTTTTAAAACACTAGGGTTTTTAGAATTTAATATTTAAAATTAAAACTTTTTAATCAAATTTTAAATTCCAAAACTTGAGGGCAAGTTATGAAACTTTTCAAAACTCTCTAGATCAAATTTTAAAACAAATAAATTAATCATATAATTTTATCTTTATCTAAATTTGACCTAATCCAATTTTATTTGATAAGATAAATGCAAATCAAATTTTACAAATAATTAATTTATCACATAATCTAGTAATTATCTTAAAATTTGACAATTATTTTTTAATTAGATGAGGATATCCATTACCATATCAGAAAAATTGATTTTAATCACTTAAAACAAATTATGGTAATTATCCTTATCTAATTTAGGCTTAAAATCTGAAAATTGTGCAGTCAGACGAGTCAACTCGTCGAGTTCATCTGGCAGAGTCTAGATTTCGACTTCTTTCAGCTTTGAACAATTAACCATGGCATCAAATATAACAGAAAAACACCCTAAGCTCTGATGCCACTGATGGGTTTTGAGCACTACATCATTCCTATGGTGCACATGCAACCCTAATGCTTTGGATCTAGGTTTTTCTCAAGTTATACATGCAATTCTAATCATCCAAGCATAAAACCTAACTAACATACAATTTTCGAGATTAATAACATAAAACCAAGTTAGAAGAATACCTTTTCCTTGTAGCTTGTAGATCTTGACCTTCAAGAGCTTAGTGCCTCAACTGTTGCACCTCTAGTGAGTCACAAACACCAAGTAGCAACTGGAAGAATATGAGAGAGGTTAGGAGGCTCTAAAAATCGGCTAGGGTTTCCTCTAAGGATCAAGTGGCCAATTTCAGGGATCCAAGGGGTTCCTTATATAGCTGAATTGTTACGGTTTCAGGTAAAACCCTAATCTGATTAAGCCTTAAGCAGTCCAGTAGATCCTTCCAGAAGGCCTCCTTGGACGAAATCTATGTGGGCTACACATAGAATTTCGTCCACCCCTTCCTAGAGATCCACAAGCCCAACTTGCAACTATCATATAATAACAATATCAGTCCCCGATAATTTAATTAGTCTCTTTTGATCACCAAATTAATTCCAAATTAATTTCTGATCAATACTAATTAAATAATATGATTTCTCAATTAATATATTATTCTTATAATATATTAATAAATTATAATTAATCTCTTTCTCCATAATTCATCCTATCAAATTGCTATGGTGAAGGCAACCCAAAAGGACCATGTTACTATCGGGTCAAGTACATACCAATTATAGTTATGAGTTTAGACACCTAATCCAACACCTTTGACCCGCTATACATGTTGAGGAAACTCACCTCGACTGCTGAATCTCACTGAAAATCCCTGGCTACTGGTCCAACGAATCCCCGAGCTAATCAATACCAAAACAACACCCAATTAACATTTGGGTTCCAATCCATAACCATAAATCCATACTTTGGGTAAAAAGACCATTTTACCCCTAACCTAGCATGGTCCAAGACTAAGGCCCAAACTCACAATCTAAAAGGCCCAAAAGCCAATTAATCAACCAATGCCCAATTATGGCCCAATTTCCCAAATTGGGCCCAAACCCCTTACATGGGCCTTACTCTAAAGCCCAACCATTTTTCCTAGTCCAAACACTTGCACTCAGATGGCCCAATAAGAAATCAAACACCCAATCCCAAAAGAAAGCCCAAACTTGAAGCCCAATATGCAAAATCCCACCTTACTGAGTACGCGGGGCGTACTCAGCTGTACGCTAAGCGTACACGCTATTTGGCTTGTATGTTGCGCATACAGACTTGTTCCATTCATGGAACCATTTCTCAATCTTCTCGAACAACCCATACTCTGATTCCCACATGAAACAACTATCTATATTCCCAAAGGAAACATCATCCAATTCCTAAAGGAAACATAATCACATTCCTATAGGAATCATCATCTCATTCTCGAAGGAATCATCTCTCGACATTCTCGAAGGAAGTATCTTTCTACTCTTGTCATAATCTTTCATGTGAGTGCTATGGTCTCCTCATAGTCTTACACATCACATGTCACATAACACTCTATCTATCATCTCATTTAGAGATCTTATTCTACCAATCTAGTACTTAATTCATTAAGTACTTAATCTACATCTTCATCTATTAACATGTAGGTATTCAACACAAAACCATTAATATCTAAACATATGTCCATACTCTACCTTTATCTAGTACATGATAGGTATTTAACACAACACCACTAACACTTAACCATACATACAAACTCATTCATAAGATTATAATACATGTAATCATACTTTATCTTCATTTATTAGTCTATAGGTATTTAACGCAATACCTTTAACATCTAATCATGCATACATAATCATTTACAAGATTACAATCCATGTAATCACATTTGATCTTTACCTAACATCTTCGATCTTTACCTAACATCTTGTGGGTATCTAACATATCCCTATTTACATCTAATCACACCTTCATACTCCACCTTCATCTAATATATTATGGGTATTTACACAACACCACTAATATTTTATAAGAATGGACGATCTTATAAATCCATTTCATGTTTAAGGCATACGGTATTGTTAAATAAAAAATAATTAAAATAAAAATGTACGATTTATTCCCGATGTGAAATGTTTATAATACAACAAATCTAAATCATTCTATGTAATCTGATTTTATAGATATAACTAATATGAATCAATTTATATATCCCAAATCATTATCAAAATAATCTACTTAATGTTAAACACTTAGAAATATACTTAAAATGTCACTTACTTCAAGGTTGTTAAGATTAAGATATTACATAAAATCGTTCTATGTTGTACAAAACCGTAATCATAAGATCGAAGATCCTACACATATTAATTAGTGTTCAAATTTGTTTCCAATGTTTTTTTTGTATAGTACTCCTTATAACTTGATATTGATTAATTTAAAACATCGCTGGTGTAATTAATTTGAACTTTTCAAATAAAAATTATAATTCATGTTGCTACAAACCCCAAAAATCAAGAAGAAACATCAAAAACAGAAAAAGAAACCAGATAATCGTGATCATACACTACTAAAGACATAAGATCATAAAAAGAATAAGATGTGTTTTATTCCGCTTTTTCTATTTCAAAATGAATAGTGAAATAGTAATATTCATGAGCTTCTAGTATATAATAACGACTAAAGAGAGTTGATCATATGTTAACATATTAAGATCCTAATCGTAATATTAAAAACTCAATATACATTTTGTTTTCACATAAACCCTACTATGATTATATCGTTTTTCATATGTAAAATCTTGAAATCACAAACCTACATCTACTCTGTTTTCTTTTTTAAATCGCATATCCCAAATATATCCGCACTTGATGCAAATCAATGAAATCCATTAAAGCAAAAAGTGAGAAAACCGATATCCAAAATATAACAGCTAAAGTATCCTCAATGCCTCAAAGCTTAAAAACAATCGGTCCTTGTGGGCAACCATACCCTTACAGAAGCCGTGTGGACCCCACCGACCCTACCATACATTTCCAGATCACACTACAGCGCACACAAAAACACACACACATTCTTCATCTTTACATGCACAATCACAACTTCACCTTTCCAAGTTCCAACCATCAAATCAAACTAATTCAATCCAAGAACACAAAATCTCAATGGAGAAGAAGGTTAAGTTGATGTGCAGTTATGGCGGAAGGATTCAACAACGGCCACACGACCTTCAACTCTCTTACATCAACGGCCATACTAAGATCTTAACAGTCAATCGCGACATAAACTTCTCAACCCTTTTATGCAAACTACACGATCTTTGTGAATACAGTTTACAGATTCAGATCAAGTATAAGTTACCTGGACACGATTTGGAAGCTTTGGTTTCAGTTTTTGACGACGACGATGTCGATCAAATGATGTTCGAGTACGATCTTCTCCGACGTGGTTCGATTACACCGCCGCGGTTCCGTCTCTTTGTGTTTTTCCCGGCGACGGTGACGCCTGTCGCGTCGGGATCATTGAATCCGGATTTTTTGTTCGGTTTTGATAAGGAGTATTCGTTTGAGACGTCGGAGATTCGTGAAAATTCCGATGTGGGTGCGACGCTTCCTGGGAATGCCGTCGGCGGCGGCGGAGCTCTGAAGCGTAGTCCGGAAGTATGGACAGGTGAAAGCTACGTTTACCCTCCGCCGCTTGTTTACCGGCCACCGGCTATTGCAGGTGGATACTTTGAGGCTGGACTGTACAACTTGTATGCAAATTGTGGAGGGAAACAACGCCGGTGACTGGGAAAAGCCGGTGGGTGTATAGAGTTTATTTTTTATTTTTTATTATTATTTTTTTAATATATATTTTGCCGGTTATTCTATTTGCTATGACGACCAAAGGGAGTATGAATACATCCAACGGTGGAAAAGCAGCCACGTCACAACATGAGTTTAAGGTTTGGGTTGTTGTAGCTACAAATTAGATTTTGGAGTATTATTTAAATTTGTTATTTTATCGTAAAAATATAATATAAAAGAGCCAACAAAGATTGTAATAGTTTTGTCTAGGTCAAAGATGGAAAAGCTTAATTGATGGTTATAACAAAATAGGAAGTTTAATGTTTGGAAAGATCACCTGAGCAATTGATCTTATCAGACCGAAATTGAAATCAGAACTGGTTATCAACGATGATAAGTTCAGGTTCATACCTCTTATATGGATAGGGATAGTTAGTAAGATTAGAAGATATATTGGTTTGTAGTTTTGTTGTAATTGTTATGTAACACTTGGTTGGTTTAATATTTATTGTATATTATGGTTGTGATATGTTTGTATGCTTTGTCTAGTTCAATGTACATCTTATGTATATCTTAAATGTTTAAAAACCAAGAAACATTTTGGGTGTATTTTGCTCTAGTTTTGAGGTGTTGCACAGAATAAATAAAAATGAAAATAAAAAATATGATAACATATCATTGTGTTTGAACCACCATTGTGTTGAAATTCCGCACTTGGATTTCTATTCACCAACATTGATCGTCATGGGAGGCATTCGTTTATCCATTTGCACCACTTATTACCCAAACCTAGAAAAAACATATTCCGTTCCTAATACTCTCAACTAAAAGAATTATACGTTTTTTCAAATTCAATCTTAGAAAGCAAAGAGTTTATTTTCTTTTTACACCAATCCATAATATGGTTAACCCTAAGAGGACCATTAGGAATCTGACGCCCTTGAATAAACGTCAATTGTTCTATAGAAATAATAGACCCGATAACCCTGCCATACCGATTAGCTATAAGTTTTGTAATAATTTTGTATTGCAATCCAATAAAAAAATGGTCTAATTATCACCTTTCGAGACCAACATGATAAAAGAGGAGTTAAAACGTATAAAAGTCAATAACAAACCAGATGAAATCATCTTTCATGACATCCCAAAACTTTTTCAAAAGCGTAAAAACGAACCTATTCGGTCCCGACATCTTATTGCTCCCGCACGACCAAACAACTTCTTTTATTTCCACCTCCGAAAAAATTGATTCTAAATCTTCTACCATACTTCTATGATACACATGAACTTAATTTATCTTTAAAATTTTCAAAAAATTATCTTTTAACTTGATTTGTAATCATACACCAATCACCATCAACAATAATCACCTTTATGGACATTTTCTTAAATTTCTATTCAACATACAAATTTTTATGCCCATTATAATGTGAAATCTTTTAACTATTATTTTCACTATTATTTTCACAAAAACATTTAAATACCAAACATTATATTAATACACTATGTGATCTATATCGATGATTACAATGTTTATGTTTTAACTAACTAGGCCCTTTTAAATCATTATTGCACATGGTGGGCAAAATTTAGACAATATCATTCTTTACCCTCATTCCATGTTGGGCAAAATTTAGTATAATGGAAGTTACATAAGATATGGTTTGTTTTCAGAATAAAAGGTTTTATATTTATAAAGTAGTCATCGATTAAAAATAATAAAACTTGAAAAGTTCTCAATGTCATAGGAAACAACAATCATATTTATGGACCCAATTAGATATCATGACGATACAACTTTAAAATTCTAAATATATTCTAGCATGCTTTTCTTATTTATTATTTTAAAGATATTATTTAACAGTTTGAAACTAAAACTCCCTTGAGATATTGTACTTAAAACTAGCTAAATATAATTTACTTTTAACTTCCCTATGAGGTGTTCAACGTTTCCGTCCATCATGGTGGCATTCCTCTTCGGAGAATGCAAACGCCGGTAGGATATATCTTCTCCTCGATACGATTTCTTTCGACATAAACTTAGAGCGGACACAAGAATTCATACTAGGTGTGGTACACTATTTTTTTCAGGTCAAACATTACCAAATCATCCAATAACTTCAATAAAAACATAGCAATTTCACCAAATCAAACAATAATTTCAATACAAACATAGCAATTTCACGTAATCAAAAAATAATTTCAATAAAAACATAGCAATTTCATCAGGTTAAACAATAACTTCAATAAAAACAGAGCAATTTTGAATACCTAAAAAACTTGATAAAATTTCAAAATATCAATAATACTTACTTGTTTCATTCTACGCTAGGGCTTGGAGTCGATTTTGTAATCAATGTAAACTTGGGGTTGATTTTTGAATCACCCACTCAGCCACAAAAGACGAGAAGGAATGCAAGCACAACAACAAAGTTGATTTCAGTGAAGAAGAAGAAAAAACGCAGCGGACAGAAGAACTAAAGAAGGATGCGAAGAAGAGGCTTGGCCTCGTTTTTTTTTCTTTCTTCTAAATGTCGATCGGACCATAGCCATCAGCCATTGGGCTATTTTGTCCATCTCTTATTCTTTTTTGGGCTACAATTAATAGTGGATTAAAATTTAAAACATTAGGCTCTTAATTCTAAGTTCTAATTATATTTTTGGGTTTGGTTGATCCGATAGAGTGACACATTTTTTTTAGTTGCACAATTTTTTTACGTAGTGATAGAGTTTTTTTTACGTAGTGGCACAATAGGTAAAAAAAATCGAAAATTTTTCCACCATGTACAGGAAAAGCAGGTGTTTCCGGTACAACTGTTGGCACCTAATGAAAACCGCCCCTACGCACACTTAAACCCTAGGGTTTGATGTTCCTTTACTCGCATGTAACAAAACGATTCACTAATGGGAGATTGATTAAAAGAATCACTAATTCATAAAATTTCACACAATGTGTACGCCATGAATTTCCCAACGCACTTTACTACTAGAGAATTATAGAGGACATGTAAACTGAATGTTGGGAATCAACAAAACAAGTTAAACAACTTCGGATAAACGAATTTCGGTAAAACACACAGAAATGGTAAAACATGCGGAAATAAAACTGAGAACTCTATAAAGGAAAAATTAAACACAATATTTAATGGGCTCGGTCAAAATGACATACATCCACGAGAGAACGAGGGAACGGGAGAGAGAGAGAGAGAGAGAGAGAGAGAGAGAGAGAGAGAGAGAGAGAGAGAGAGAGTATGTGTGTGTGTGTAGCATCCGGGATTTTCCAGGTATTATTAATCATTTTAAAATTTAAGAATGGAATGGTTTGGTTTGGGCTTTGACCTTTGGGCCTTATTAGTGGACTGAGGAAGTGACGTACGCGGGGAGTACACAGCCATGTACGCCCAGCGTACTCGTGAGAATGAACCGCGGAGGCCAGCTGCGTACGCCCAGCGTACCAGGAGTACGCCCAGCGTACACATGCAGCTCATTAAACCCTAAAATTTAGGGTTTACTCCCTATATAAAGAACATAACTCATGTTTGTTCGGCCTCCCTTCACTTTTACCCAGCCACCACGAAAACCCTAGCTCCCTTTGTGTGCCTTTGTGTTCTAGAAGCCATTTGAGAGTGCTTTTGGTGTTGTTTTAGTGAGAAAAGAAGAAAGGAGCTTGAAGAAGAAGCAAGGATCCACCAAGAGGTTGTAGATCCAGAGGATTGACACCATTTCTGACTCCTTTGAGGTATCAAGCTCCATACTTGACCATTGTATGCTTAGATTTGTTTATTTGGGGGTTTTTATGTCCTTTTTGACCCCATTGTTGGGAGTGTTTGAGTATTTTTGGTTCCAAAGCATAAGAACTGTCCTTTTGGGCTCTTAGAGGCACTAAGAGTCATAAAAATCGGACCTTGATGGTTAAGCCACAACCATGCAAGTGTTTTTAGGTCTTAAAGTTTGTTAAAAGGACCAAAGTCATGTTTTGACCCCAACCTTGCATGCAAGCACATAAAGTTTGTGACTTTATGGTTTAGGAGGTCTTAAAGGACCAAAGTCATGTTTTGACCCCAACCATGCATGCAAGCACATAAAGTTTGTGACTTTATGGTTTACGTCCAAAATGCAGATCCAGGTCCTTTAAGACCTCCTAGACCATAAAGTCACAAACTTTATGTGTGTGCATGCAAGGTTGGGGGTCAAAACATGATTTTGGTCCTTTTAACAAACTTTAATACCTAATAACACTTGCATGGTTGTGGCTTAACCATCAAGGTCCGATTTTTATGACTCTTAGTGCCTCTAAGAGCCCAAAAGGACAGTTCTTATGCTCTGGAACCAAAAATACTCAAACACTCCCAACAATGGGGTCAAAAAGGACATAAAAGCCCCCAAATAAACAAATCTAAGCATACAATGGTCAAGTATGGAGCTTGATACCTCAAAGGAGTCAGAAATGGTGTCAATCCTATGGATCTACAAGCTCTTGGTGGATCCTTACTTCTTCTTCAAGCTCCTTTCTTCTTTTCTCACTAAAACTACACCAAAAACACTCTCAAATGGCTTCTAGAACACAAAGGCACACAAAGGGAGCTAGGGTTTTCGTGGTGGCTGGGTAAGAGTGACGGGAGGTTGAACAAATAGGGATAATGTTCTATGTACAGGGAGTAAACCCTAAATTTTAGGGTTTAATGAGTTGCACGCGTATGCTGGGCGTACTCCTGGTATGCTGGGCGTACGCACCTGGCCTTCGCGGTTCATTCTCACGAGTACGCTGGGCGTACATGGCTGTGTACACCCCGCGTACGTCGCTCCCTTAGTCCACTAATGAGGCCCAAAGGTCAAGCCCAAACCAAACCCTTCCATTCTTCAATTTAAAATGTTTAATAATACCTGGAAAATCCCGGATGCTACAAATCTCCCCCACTTGAATTAGACTTCGTCCTCGAAGTCCGTTGTCGCTGCTGGAAATAACTCGGGGTAGTGTTCTCTCATCTCATCTTCTGGCT